CCCTCTTCTCCCCTCCCCTTCCTCCCTCCCAACACCCTAATCCCACCTACCCTCCCTCTTCCCTGCCTCCCTCCCCCTCCTTTTCCCTCCCACCTCTCTCCCAGTGCCCTCTTCCTTCCTACCCTCCCTCCTTCCCTCTCCCTCCCGCCTCCTCCCTCCCTCTCCTCCTCTCAGAATTTTGGCTGTGCATCTCCCTCTCTTCTACTGGTGTCAGTCTCTGTATCCATGCCTCTCACTCCATCTTCCTTTCCTGAATCTCCCAGGGGTGGGCGCTGGGGCCCAGAGAACCCTGGTGTGAAGCACAAGGACAGTTAATCAATTCCGAACCCTGAATCTGGGCCTTACACATCCCCCCTTCCCCACAGGTCACTCTGGTCTCTGGGACACCCCCTCGCCACCCTCCGTCCCTCCACCCAGCACATGCACACAGAGTGGCCCCGGAGCCCAGCCTGGCCGTGGTCCTGGCTCTACTCCACTCCTGGCTGGAGTGCCTGGTTGCCATGGTTACCGCAGCTCTCCTCAGAGGCCACAAGGGACCGCTGGCGCTGGTGGCTTGGGTTAACTGGGACCAGAAACACCTCCCTGGCTCCCGTGCCCCGCCTCAACTGGCCTCTCTCCCTGTTTCCAAGGGATCCCAGCCTGGAGAACCCACCATAATTCTCTGGGAGGCCGTACAAAAGGACATTTCTGGCGGTACATTTAAAAAGAGAAGTTAGACCCACAGCTCCCTCATTTCAGCTGGATTCATGACCAGGACACCGTTAGCCAAATGTGGATCAAAGCTGCTGAATCCCTGGTAACGCTCATTCACCTATGCACGCGTTCATTCATTCAAATATCTGGAGGTACAGGGCTGGATAAAGACAGGTGTCTACCTTTGAGCATCCCACACAGATGACAGGGACAGAGGACTCCGGAAACGTCAACCTGCCCGAGTCTAGGGCATCTAAGAGGTCCCCCAGAGGACAGGGTAATGGTTCGCCCTAGAAGGTGAATAGGGGTAGGAGAAAGAGAACGACTGGGATTTGAGTACAAATGGTGTAGCGTGTGCAAAGGCACTGGGGTGGGGAGAATGCCACAGTGCGGGTCCCGGTGAGCTCCATGAGGGTGGTAGCCTCCGTGCCTGATTCAGTGTCTGGCAGAATAAAAAGTACACGAATGCTCAGGGAGAGAATGAATGAATGAGTGAACGAATGAGTGAATGGATGAGCGAGCTGCAAGAGGTTCCTTGGAGGCCGGAGCACAAGGCGCTTGAAGGGGGTCAGGGGAGAAGAACTGGACAGATGTTTCGGGGCGGGTTTTATCGAAGGCCCTTCTGCCCAGGCCACAGAGTTGGGACTTCATGCCCCCGCCAGCTAGGGGCTTCGTTTGTTTGTTTACTTCTTTTTAAAAAATTTTTTTTTTCAACGTTTATTTATTTTTGGGACAGAGAGAGACAGAGCATGAATGGGGGAGGGGCAGAGAGAGAGGGAGACACAGAATCGGAAACAGGCTCCAGGCTCCGAGCCATCAGCCCAGAGCCCGACGCGGGGCTCGAACTCACGGACCGCGAGATCGTGACCTGAGCTGAAGTCGGACGCTCAACCGACAGCGCCACCCGGGTGCCCCTGTTTGTTTACTTCTTAAAGCACCATCACTCTGGCAGTTGTTTGCAAGACAAACGGGAGTTTGAAGTTGTGAGGTTGACTCGTCCAGGGCTGAACTGTTGATTTTCCTCCCCCGCCCCTTCCAGCCCCCACAAAAGCTGCACGAAGCAGGAGGAACCATGGCCTTCTCTCTCCGGTTGATGGCAACTCCATCCTTTCAGTTGGTCAGGCCAAAACCCCTGACGTCATGCTCGACTCATCTCTTTCTGTCACCCCTGCATCTGAGATGTCAACAAATCCTGTTAGCTGCACTTGCAAAACGTGCCTGGAATCCAACCACTTCTCCCCACCCCCACCCCCACCATCCCGGTCCAAGACACCGTCACCTCTTGTCTGGGATATTCGACAGCCCCTAACCTTCCGTTTCCCCCTCTTCTTACCTCCCCCCTACCCTAAGTCTCCTCTTGTGCAGCAGCCAGAGCGATCCTGTTAAAATGTAAGTCAGACCTTGTCACTCTTTAGCTCAAAACTGAGATGATTTTGTCTCAGGCTGGGTAAAAGCTGAAGTCTGTCCTGGCCCAAGGGCCCTGAGGGATCTACCCTCTAGCCCATCCCGTCTCTGATTTCCTCTCCTACAAGTCTGCACCCTCTCACGTACTACGCTCTGGTCTCCTTACTTTTCTTCAAACACTTCAGGCAACTGCTTGCCTCAGGGCCTTTGCACTGGCGCTTCCCACTGCCTGGCACGCTCTGCCCCCAGATGGCCTCCTTACCTTCACAACCACTCCCCGCACATCTTCATTCAAAAGTCATCTTCTCGGTGAGCCCTGCCTGGTCACTGTATTAGTTTCCTGGGGCTCCCGCCACAAAGTGGCACAAACGAGGTGGCTTAAACAACAGAAATCTGTTGTCTCCCAGTTCTGGGAGCTACAAGTCCTAGACCTAGGTGTTGGCAGGGTTCGTTTTTTCTGAGGGCCGGGAGGGAGAACCTTGTTCCGTGGTCATCTCTAGCTGTGGGTGCTTTGTTGGCCATCTTCCCTATTCTTGGCTTGTGGCTCTCTGGCTTCCTCTTCACGTGGTGTTCTCCCCACGTGTATGTCTTGGGTCCAGATTTCCTCTTTCCATGAGGATGCAGGGGAGGGGGTGGGGGTGGCCCACCCCACTCTACCCCAGGACGACCTCATTTGAGCCAAACAAATCACGACGAGGTCACATTCTGTGGTACCAGGGTACCCACAAATTTTGGCAAATGAAATTTGTGGGGGAGACACAATTCTACCCATAACAGCCCCCAAATTTAAAATTGTTCTCTGATCTCCCCAATCCAGTCTCTATATATGTCCTTTTTTTTTTTTTTAATTTTTTTTAACCTTTATTTATTTTTGAGACGGAGAGAGACAGAGCATGAACAGGGGAGGGTCAGAGAGAGGGAGACACAGAATCTGAAACAGGCTCCAGGCTCTGAGCCGTCAGCACAGAGCCCGACGCGGGGCTCGAACTCACGGATCGCGAGATCGTGACCTGAGCCAAAGTCAGATGCTTAGCCGACTGAGCCGACTGAGCCACCCAGGCGCCCCACAAAGTGAGTTTTAAAAGTAACCGTTTGCACTTTAATAATAAAGCCCTCCCCGAGGGCTGCAAAGGGGAAGGCTGCACTCCCTGAACGCAGGGTCTGAGCAATGCCTGGGGCTTGCTAGGATGTGGAACTAGAAAGGCCAGGCGTAGACCACCTGCTCCAAGGTCAGGGCTGTCCCTGGCTGGTTCACTCTGCCCCTGCAGGGTGTCCTGGGCCTCCTGACGTCCATGACGTGGCAGGGCCTGTGCTGAGCCATGGCTTTGTTTGCACACTTCGCCTTCAGAGTGACCTCAAGATTTGCACTCTTGCTGTCCGTGCGCACCTCCAGACGCCCACCCTTCTTAGAGAAGCGACCTCCTTCCCAAACCCCAGAGAGGAAGGGGTTAGTGGGCAAGAGGAGGGCCCAGTGCAGACAGAGGCTCAAGGGTGGGCTCGGCCAGGCCTGTCCTTTGGGGAGCAGCCCCTCCGTGCCAAAGGCGTCCAGGCAGCAAGCGGGCCCTGGGGCTCTTGACCCTGGCTCCGGCATTTTGTCCATGGAGGCAGGGCTGTCCTGCCTGGGTTTCCCTTGCCCGCCCCCCCAACTCCCCATGCAGGAGGCAGCCTCCAGCCTGAGTCACTGGCTCCAAAGGCCTCATGACCATGACCATTCCTCTTGAGGACATCACGAGTCAGCCATCTGTCCACTCTCTCAGAGGCAGGACATGCCATATCCAGGCGTCTGCACTATCCCCTGACCTCCCCATCGCACCCCTGGGCGGGTAAAGCGTCTCAGGACGCCTCACTCTGTTTCCGCGTCTCTCTTTCCCTCACCTCTCCTCTCGGCATTTCTGTCTGTCTGGGTCCCCTCCACCCCGCTATTGCTTCATCACTCTCTCCGTGCCCTCCTTGGCTTCAGGAAGGCTCCCTCCACACGTGTCATGCTTCTTAACACTGCCCTGAGCTTTCCCACCACCCTCAGCCCACTGCCACCGCCACACGGTCAAGTCCTGGCTCAAGGGCCACCTCCTCCATGAAGCCCACCCTCGTTACCTCTTCACCCCCTCCCCTGAAACTGATAGCTGACTCCCATGAAGTCCCAGGATTTGACCTCTCTCTTTCGATCTCGTGTCATGTGATTTGTGCGCAGGCCCACACTCCCCTCTCCTCCCCCCTCATCTGCTTCCACACCGGGCTCAGCCATCCTCAAGGGCAATGAAGAACGTCAGACCTGGCTTAGGTCGGTGTTCAGGAAGCCTTGAAAGGGAGGTGGGGAGAAGGAAGGAGGCAGAGGAGGCAGATATGAACATAAAGATGCCAAATGAATTTATTAAGTGTTTCCTATGTGCCAGGTTTTTGCTGGGTGCTCCCCAGGACAGAATGACCAGCTCGCTCAGAGAGCTAGGGAAAAGAAAGCCGGTAGGAAATGTAATTGCCATCAAGTGCCATGGAAAGGCGAGACCAGGGCTGTGGGGGTCCACGGGGCACATTCCTTACCCTGGACTTGGGGGTCTGGCAAGGCTTCCTAGAGAATGTTGTGCTAGGTTGGCACTTAAGGGCCAAGTTAGCAAGGTGAAGAGGGAAGGAACAGTGTGGTGGACCAAAGGAACCATCAATGGAGAGGCTCAGAGGCAGGGAGGGCAGGGTGGGTGGATGGATGGGAGGGTGAGTGTGGTGAATGAATGGTTGGATGGGGGCATGACTGAGTGCATGAGTGGGTGCCTCAATGGATCCAAGAATGCGTGGAAGATTCGAGAATGCACCACCTGCCTGGCCAGCCATAGGGTCAGAGCGGCTACCTCTAGCAGGAGGCAAGGGGGCGGGTCTTGGGTCAGGCCATCATCCTCTGGCCCTTTGATCTGAATCACAGGCCTACACTAATGACCGCTGCCCCCACCCCTGGCCACAGGGACCAGACCCTTTGGCCTGACCCCCTTCCGTGCCTCTCCTGGGGATCCTGGAGGTTGGGTTATTTATAGATGATAACCTTTCTGCCCTCACCCCCAGGCAGACACTTGCCTCTCTGCGGCCATTTCCTTCCATTCTTCTGCCCTGTGTGGGGGGAGGCCACAACCCCCAGTCCACACAGCCCTCCTCTCCATTCTTCTTATCTCCCTCCTGGCGGGTTTCCTGCCCAAGGAGATAGGGAGCAAAAGGCAGGCCCTCCTGGGAAGGTTTGTGATAGTGGGAGTGAGGCTCTGGGGGGCTTCAGGGCGGGGCAAGGCTCTGGGGGCTGCTCTGGGGGGATCCGGGGCAGGGCGGACTGCCCAGGTCCAGAGGGGTCCCCATGCAGCCAGGTGGGGGCGGGGGGCGGGCGCCTGCACATGGGACTAGGATGGTGATGACGAAGCCTGTGGCCTCTGCCTTGTCTGCATCTCTGAGTGAGTCACAGCCTCCCTCAGCCTCAGTTTCCCCATCGGTGAAATAGGTCCCAGAGCTGGGGTTAAGGGAAACAGTGGAAGTCACAGTAGGGGAGGACGGTTACCTTGTGGTGTTAAAACTGAGAATCCTTTGAGGGGCTCTGTGGGGTGAGGAAAGGGGGTGCTGGCCAGGCCTGCAGGACGCGGGCAGGGCACGGGTCTGGTGGGAGAGTGGGCGTAGCTCAAACCTGCCGAGCTCAGGTCTGGCGCTCCCTCCCCTGGGCCTGGGAACGGCTTGGGAAGGCCTGCCTCTGGCTTCCCGGAAAGACCTGGGCCCCCTCCCCAGTCCCACCCCTAACACCTCCCCCGGCCACCCACACAGATACAGGCACATAGAGATGCACTCAGAGATACACATACAGAGACACACACACACACACACACACACACACACACAGAAGCACACACAGACACACACACGGGCACACACAGCAGAGTTGGAGGGGCTCCCTCCCACGGTCCTCTTGCAGCAGGCGGGGGAAGGTGCACAGAGACCCCCAACCCCACCCGATCCTGGGCTTCCGCTAAGAGCCTGATACGCCCCTTCCTCGGAGAGAAGGGCCTGGGACCAACCCGTCTGTGACTTTAAGGACCATGGGGTGAGGAGGTGGCAGGGTTGACATCCATGAAGGAGCCCGCGTGGTGGCTTCAGGCAGCGGGGGGGGGGGGGGCATTTGTCCCGAGAAGACCCCAACAGGGACCAGCCGCCCTCGGGGGCCAGGAGCAGCAGGGGAGGGGACAGGATAGAGCAGAGGTGCTGGCTGTGTCAGCCTCTCTCAGGAAGAGACATTTACCACCACCGTGAAAGTCGGGGAGACGGGTCCAGGCAGAGAGGTGCTGTGAGGAGGAAGCGTTTGCAACCGGAATGTCCGGATCCGGACCGGGTCTGCTTGACTCGGCTTGTCCTCCAGCCATCACCTGCTGCCCCAGGTCGTTGGAGGCTGCTGCTCCCGGGCCTCCCAGCCCGTCTGTCACGGGGCTGAGAGTCCTGCCCCTGAAATGGTTCTGCCGCATGGCGAGATGCGTGTTGGCGGGTCCCATAGCTCCTGTCCCCATCCTCCTCCCTGATCCCAGGGACTGTTCCAGAACCAACACTCTGGGTAGCTACACTGCTCCAAATACACCCGTGGCTCCCCATTGCCTACCCAGCCAGAACCACTGCGCTTAGCCGGTTCTCTCGGTCATGTCGTAGTGACATCACGGCCCCCTGTGCCAGCCCGTGTCCCTTCCACCACGCCTTGCCCCTCACGAGAAGCACATGAAGCTCCCTTGTCCTGCGGCCTGGAAGGCCACCCCCCCCGCCCCCCCCCGCCCCCCGCACTTCACCTTCATTTCCTGTGGAGCCGTGACTCTGTGACCACCCCGCACTGCAGGTCCCAGCACCGCACACACGCCTCTGTCCATTTCCTCCACGTGCAGACACGGAGGGGGTCAGTACCCCCGCTGGAGGGGTGCCCTTCTCATCTCTGTGTCCCCGCTGCCAGCTCCGGCCCGACAGACGGAGGGAAAGCAGTGTACAAACTGGGTGGCCTTAAGACAGACCCAGCCAGGGGCCCTGGCTCAGCTGCTCCTCCCTGGACGTTCTCAGTTTCCTTATCTGTAAAATGGGAACAATATCAGCATCTCTCATGTCCGTTTGCTGCGATGATTGAATGGCAGGCCTAATTGGGTGGCACCACACCAGGAGATGTTTTGGAAATGGACTGGGACATTCTGGATTGTCATGACGAGGGGAGCAGGTGGGGAGCCCGGCTGTGTTTAGTGGGCAGTGGACTGGGGAAGGCAGGCCGTGAGAAAAGAGTGGGGCTGTCGTGCCCAGCGAGGAACCATTCCATAACCCGCATGACTGCCACATGTCCTGCTGGGCATTCGTGCAGGGGAGAAAAGATGTGCATAATTATATGAGCCTCGACTTTGACTCTGCTTTACGCAGAATGAAAAGCATTTTTGCACAGCTAACAACATTTTTTTTATTTAAGTGATTGCTACACCCGACGCGGGGCTCCAACTCACCACCCTGAGCTCAACGGTCACGTGCTCCTCCGAATGAGCCAGTCAGGCGCCCCGAACAGGTTGAATATACACTGAATTTTCCAGAGGTGTCGCTAACTAAGGACAAAAACAAGAGAAGTCTGCATTT